GACCCACACACACACACACACACACACACACACACACACACACACACACACACACACACACACACACGCACACAAAGAAAGACAGGGGAGGGCTATGTACCCAAAAGAGGAGGGGTCAATTCATCAGAATTACAAAGTGGGGGCCAAGTGATGCAACTGTTAATGAGGAGCCATTATTAAAGCTGAGCTACACGCACACACACACACACACACACACACACACACACACACACACACACACACAGATTCATGGGATGAACTAAAAATAACAATATGTAGTACTGTGTGTTAAAATAAAATTGTACTAAGAATTATTCCTATTATTAAATTCCCACGATATAATACTACAATGAATAAGACTAATAAACAGACGGATAATGAAAATAAATCATCAATAGTCATTTTTTAAATTCTTATTATACCTGCAAAACGTATGTATATCTGTGCTAAATATCATTAATATCTAATCTTAGACAATGACTATTATAACAGAATTATTGTCATGAAAATGGCTGTGAAGTTTGTAAAAATGACAAATACCGGTAAATGAATATTTGTAAAGCTTATATTGCTGGTAACTGGCGGAATCCTCGTACCTCCAAAATCATCACTTTCCAGGAGACCTCAAACAGGGGTTGTTTGTTCAATGGTTTACGTTGCATTGCCAAAGTGAGCAAGCCATTTTCAATATTTTAGATTGGTCAATAATGTGTAGAATAAACAAATAAATTGGACTGAGCAGGAGTATAGATTTGTGGAAAAAAATTCTCAAATTGTGACCTAGGAGGTTCTTGCCCGACGGCGGCAGCGATATTTTTTTAAATATGATTGTAAATATTACGATCACTGCTATTCAATAATATCAATTGAATAGCACAACAATGCAGCTCCATTTTTTTAATGCCCCAAAAAGTTTGAGTTGTGCGCTGTTCTTCGACACACAGAACAATAATGCCCAGGGGGCAGATGTACTGCTTCTGTTGTGCGAGCCTTGGCCTAACATAGCCTGTTGTCAGGTTTTGTAGTATCAGAGAGTTGTTACAAATCAGAGTATACAGGTGCAGATGTGTAGTACAGGTACCGTAGTTGGTCAGGCTGCATCCCTCACAATAACAAATTTTCACACTCAAAAGACCTCTCTAAGGCTAACGCCTGATTTAAGGAATCGTTCTACAGCAAAACTAACCTGGACATAAGGAAGTGGGCGTATCCCTCAGGCATGTACTGGACATGATCTTCCCGCATGGGGTGATTGTATTCGGCGCAACAAGGTTCAAAGTAGCTGTCGTCTCGCTCGGCTACAAAGTCGGCAAGCGGGTCTTGAGTTGAATACTCGGCGTAGATGTCTGATGTATTCCTTGTAGGCTCACAACTTTCCCGGTTTTCTGTCCTTTTGTCACCATGGTGGTAAATGTAATCAGTCTCAGGTGGACCCTGAATTGTTGTGCACTGGTTTGTAGCACTCTGATTCGCTGGATGGGGTAAAAGCTGTGAGGTCATATTTTTGCATCTGGAAAATAAGAGATGGAAAAGTCAAACTTTGTGGCTTCGCCCCTCTACCTGCACCCCACCAAGAATAGACCCTCCCCAAAAAACCACCGTTTCTTGCAATTTAGTGTCATCCTTCTGTCAAGTGAACATGGTTCCAATTTGGTAGCAATGAGATAAACCTCTACGACTGGAAATGGCCAAAATGTCCCTAGAATGGCTGCTTCAAAACAAAATGGCAGGCTTCAAGTGTCTTTTCGACTTTTTTGAGGGTTTACGTAGGATCGAAATGTCAACACATTGCTGCATTTCATGGTGTAGCCAATGTTTCGGCTAGTGTCTAAAAAAGTAAAAACTTGCAACAGACACACTTTAAATTCCCAACAAGTCATTAGAGTAAAAACTGTGCACACGCCTGGTCAGGGAGCGAGTGGAGTTGTTTGCATCTGCTGCAGTGGGACTCAAGTTGCAGCGAGGCAGGAAATGCATATTAATTTAGGCGTAAACACATTCATAAAAAAACACTGAGAGACCCGGATCACAGCATGCTCCTAAAGAGTGATATCCTAAAATTGAAACAGCACTCACAAAACTCTCAATAACGCTAAATGAGACTTGACCATTTTGGATCAATAGAATGCTGGGTACAGATCATGCTCAAAGTTACTCAATTCATCATTACCGAATACCATATTCCACATTTCCAAATTTCAAATTGGAGACACGCAATTTAGAAAATGGACAGAATAATTTGAAAGAAAATACTTCCATCGGTTGCTTTTCATTGTTTAGCTATTTGCTATTAGCCTCCAAGGGTGGACAGTTGTTTTAAAGCTGAAATAACGGTGAAACATTCTCCTTGAAGCGATTGTTGGGCCCACAATTCAAACAACAAAAGCTGAAATAACGGTGAAACATTCTCCTTGAAGCAATTGTTGGGCCCACAATACAAACAACAACAAAAAACCACGGTGACCACTGTGGTAGTGCAGCTGCTTTGTGGTTAAAGTTCTGTTTGAATCTGAGCTCTGAACTATCTATGAGTACTCCGACTTCCTCCCTCATCTCAAAAACTATTTTCACGGAAAGGTAAACATTGCACACTTGATAAATTGCCTAGATTGGCCTCTAACACAAAGGTCTGCTGCGATAGGCTCCACCTCACTCACGATCCTTACCTCGCATTCAGAGAACAGCTGTGGTGAGAGGTCCACCAGTCTCCATCGTGCTGTCCAACCAGGCGATCACCAGTCCTTCCACTTGGTCCGTCATGATAATCAAGTAAATCATGTTGGGATGGGTCGCTCTTCGGTGGGAGTGGACAACTTTCAACCAGCTCCTCTGTGAAACTCAACAGATCGTGAGTACTTTGCAATGTTGCAGGTTCTTCCTCCAGCCCTTCCTCATCATTTTCCTCCTCCATCAAATCTCCGGAAAATGGTAATCCGAGGGCCTTGTTGCTAGGGACACCTGATTCGCTCGCAGGGGTACTAACCAAGGAACTGGTGTGAGAGGTGGCGGAACTATTACACGATGATTGCTGTGTGTCCTGTCTCTGTAACGAATCACCCCAAACTTGGAAGTTGGCATGGGGTGAAGTTGAGTTGATCGGCGAATGCCCACTGTCTGAACCCGAGTCTTCCATGGAGATTTGGGAGTGGACATAAACCTCCTCCCTGGTTTTGAGGAAGTGATCTGATGGGTGTCTCAATGAGGGTGACAGACTTCTGCCAAAGACGCTGGATTTATCTTCGTAGTAGCCTTCTTCCAGTTGTGGCTCACTTCCAGATGGTGGCCTTGACTCTGACTGGAAAGTTATGATGAGACTGTGGTCCTCACTGGTTGATTGATCATTTTGGGTCTGTTCGCTTTGCTCGGTTGTCTTCTGATTCTGAGCTTTCAGAACTAAAATGGCATCGGAAAGCATGTTAAATGTTTCCACGGGCTTCCTGGATCCTTTGGAAAGCCCTTCAGTGTCTTTGGGATCATGCTCAGCTGCCTTTACTGTTCCTGGAACAATAATGTATTCCATTTCAAGGCATGACGACGAATCCCCGTCTGAGTTGGATCTTAGTTCATCTCGACTGCCTGGGCTCAATTTGAGTATTTCTCCGTCAAAACCAAGGTTGGGGCTGAGCAACATTGTCTCTCTCATGGAGCCTTCTTGGCTTTGACAATCAGCAAGGGTAACCCTTTGTGGCAAACTGGGGGACGCTGGTCCAGAACTTTCTGGTTTACTGGACGCAAGACTCGACGAACTAACTGGGCTTCGAGATAAAGAATCCTTAGTGTTCATTTGATCTTCACAAGCTTCAACCAAATTTGATTGATAATCCTCTGAAAGTGTCTGAGATTTGTCAACCAGAATAAATGGTGAACGAAGCTCAACAGAGTCTGATTTTTCATTTGAACTCAAGTCACTCTGTCCTTGAAAAAGGAAAACTTTATCTGAACTGCTTGCATCAGATTCCATCTTGTCTTCTACAGGTTTGGTCACAGCTATGAATGGGCTGGACTGCTCTTCCATTTGTATCATACCTCCAACAGGACCACAGTCGATCTCAGGGGAGGACGAAGTGCTCCAAATGCAACCTCCTACATTGTCATAGTCAGAAGTGGAAATGACCATGTGAGGAACAGGAAGATTCCCCGCTGGTTCAGGGTTCCCTCTGTCCGATATTCTGCCTTCTTCCCCGTCTATGACTATTTTGACATTCTGCTTTTGACCGATCCATCTGATACCCTTCTCCTGTTCTCCTTTCTCTGCTTCTCTTCCCTGCTGTTTGGTTGCAGTAGTATCCCTTCCATCCGCTAAGCCAGGGCGGCTATCCTCCTTTCCATTTCCGGGTCCTTCTGGGCTTGCGGATGAAGAGCTGTCTTCTTGGATGGTCGTGTTCCACATTTCCATGCCTCCATAGGAGAATCCCTGAGGACTTTCCACAGAAGTGCCGCCTCCCATGTTGGGAGCTACCCCAGCAAAGGTCCCAGAGTCTTGAGACAAATTGTCAGGTGTCGTGAGTGGAGAAAAACTGTCATCTCGGATCGTTGTATTCCACATGTCAAGTGATTCCGGGTAGGAAGTGGTAGTTCCGCTATCTGATTTCAGAAAACCCTTCTGTGCCGAGTAGGTCCAGAAATCCAGCGTCTGGATCACTATACCTGCTTTACTTCCCTGTGCATCATCATTGTCCTCTTTCGATGTGTCGGGCGTTAAAGTGCTGAGTACGATTTTCTTCTGTGAAGGACGTCTCGTTTCTTTGACTCCAAAGACGGCAGCTTTGTCTTCTACTTCCTCCTCTGGAGGTGTCAACTGCAGATCAGCCGCAGTAACCGGGTTCCACTGATCAGCAAGTACGGAATCTGGGTGCCAGTTTTCACACGATTCTGTCTGTTCAGTGATCAAACTAAGTTGTGGTTCCAGGCTCCAGTCCTTCTGTGACCTCCCTTCCCTACTCGGTTTTCCACCATCAAACTCTTTGCGCCTTAGTTCCTCCAGATTCTGAGGGCTCTCTGACCCTCTGGTTCTATTCCAGGCGTCATTAGGGGAAGGTGTGTCGAAGCCAAGCTCCTCCCAGGTTTCAGACAAGGACGACGAGATGCTGTCTTTATGCTGCAGGCCGCTGATCCTCTCCGCTACATCTTCAGGGAAGAACCTAGCGCCGCAACAGCTGGAAGGGTGAGTGTCCATCAGGCTGTTGACCGGTGTTGGAGGAACCACAGTCTCAGTCATCTCCATGATTTGACAGTCTGGATCAGTAGAGCACTGCCTACTTTCCAAACCGCCTACAGAACTGGGGTCAGACAAATCCACCATATTTAGTTCCTCATATTCTGACAGGCTGGAGCTTCTCACCGTTTGCCTGTCGTTCTCTGCTTTTCCTGTGGAATTTTGAAGGGTGTGAGGTGGATGGAGCGGCTCAAAATGAAACTGATCTAATTGGTCATTCCTTTTTTTGTTTGAACGCCGACGTCGCCTTCTCTCAGGCGGTGCAGGAGGTGAGAGGGATGACAGCCCCAGAGGAGATGGATTTCTCAACAGGAGGCCCCCGAGACCTGCTGCTGATCCAATAATCTCACCGACTGGGCTGTCATCACTGAGAAACACTGAGCTCTCCTTGGAGGAGCGGCTGCTCCGGATGGTGTTCATACCGCTGTCGGGGCTCACCAGCTCCACACTTGCTCGGACTCCTCCTGGATCATCCTCACCCTCTGGCACCACCCTGCGAGAACACAAAAGAAGAACGTTGGGTGTCCTCCAAATGTTCACTCTTTGGATAATTGCCCCCTTTACTCACCTATCTATTGCTACCGCATCTCCACCTCCTCCCTCAGCTCTCTCTGTGTCCGAGCCTTCCATGTCATTGATGCCAGACGAGCCTTGGGAAAACTCCACGCTGCCCGCCACCCCCTCGGTGGAGGACGTCATGCTGCTGGGGCGACAGGCTAGCATGGAGCTCCTCCGATCTACAAACTCCTTGAGGAGGCCTCGGACTTCCTCCTCCAGCAGCAGCAATGACGCACCCGAAGGAGAGGAGGCATTTAGTTGGACATGGTAGACCTGCAGATCGCCGCTGGTTTCCAGTTCTTCAGAAAGAGTCCAGCTGGTGGTCTCCTCAAGTTCACAGCAGATCTGCAAGGAGAGCCATCCCCATTTGGAATACAGTATTTGATTTATGTATGGTGTCATCATACATCGCCGGTAGTTTCACGGTGGTCTCAGATGTTTTACCTGGTTGAAGAGCTCTGCATTGCTGGAACAGACTGCCACCTGCAGGCGAGGAGGACCAACTGCATCTTGAAGGGCCAGGAGAAGCATCAAGCCGTCATAGCCGTGCCGATTGCAGAAGGATTTCAAGGCATCTTCGTAACCATGCCAGTGCTAGGAAAGAGTTAAGAAGTACCAATATCTGTAGCCAAAAACACGTGACAGACGCTTATTGTGAAAACGTTTGGGAAATCATATTACTCACGATGAGGTGCAATATCTGTTGAAATTACGAGTGAATGCTGAGGAGGTGATTATCTAAAATCTTGTAAAATTAAACTCTACTTTAATGTCTTTTTTCGCTTTTCACAAAAACAAAATTATATCTTGATCTTCCCCCAGAAAATTCTTTATCAAAGAAGAAGGAGGTAAATATAAACATGCAAGTTTTTGGGAAAATGCGGGATTTGTGGACAAAGAATGAATTTTTGGAACTTGGAGAATAAGAGTCTCATTGTCCTAAATTTTGTAAATATTTGGGAATTTGAATGGTGTGAATAGTATGAATAAGGAAATTGCTTGATGTTTGGGTTGTTTTCAGACTTAAATTGTTTTTTTTGTGTGTGGAAAATGTGGGATTGTTGCATGGATAGAGATTTTTCAAATGTGGAATATACATGCAGCAATGTCCTGAATTATGTGCGAATTTGGAAGTTTGACTGATCTAAATCAGAAGAGAAAGGGAAGAAGGATTAGAGGGACAAAAAAGTGGGCACAAAAATATAAATCAAGAATTTTAACGCTGAATAAAATATGAAACACTGAGCAAGGATGAAAAAAAATCATCATGTGTGATTGTCATAGTGTAAAAATGATTCATAAGCTTTCCGCTGTGGTTACTGCCGACAAACTCCCACGACTGCACATATGATTTCCATCGCAAAAGGAGGCCTTCATCAAGGATAGACAAAGCTGTCAACGTGATTAATACGCCGGCAATTATTGTTTTCTCTTAAAACAGCCCGCCGCGCACAGATTATGCTAATTCTCTTGCAGTGACAAATGGCTGCAGAAAGTCGCGTTCACTGACGGCTGTGTTTGTCGAGCAAAAGTTGCCTCAAACATATTTGCTCAAGTTGTTTGGATCTCTTACACAAACTATTGGTTTTGCACTTTCGAATATGAAACAAGAGAGATAAATAGTACCTCTTATTTTCAGGCACAGTGGTGTCTTGACCTCCGAGTTTTTGCATTTTGTTGTGAGGTTTGAACAAAGATCGTCCGATGTCCCACAGCAAGTGGAAAAATATAAACGGAGCAACTAAGGTACTGTAATGCCCTCGCATGCGGGCAAGGAGAGCCACAGTGGCAGCAACACTATGCATGTGCACGCGTGCGCGTGTGCGTGTGTATGCGAGATTGATGAGGGCTGCAGGCTCTGTCTCTACCAGTGCTGTGTCAATATTAACCTGCCAGGATGAGGTAGCACATCACTCGTTCCTCCTTCCTCCCTCTACTCCCTCCATCTTTCTCCATAATACCATCCATTGTGATGACACACATTGTATATATACACACACACACACACACACACACACACACACACACACACACACACACACACATGAACACGCGCACACACTGACAGGGGCCATTTCTCAGCACCGATATCCTGATGAGTGCAATGAGGCTTCCCAAAGGCACTTATTCAAGTTGTACACGGCTCACAAGCCGCAGGTTGCCCACTGCTGCTTTAAAGTTACAATACACACACAAAAACACACACGCGCCATCGAGAAGATGGAGCGTGCAAAGACGGGATGCGATGACACGCAGGGAGACAGTCTGTCCGCCATTTGGCTCTTAACAGCGTAAATTAGCCACCCATCCAGTTCCACAGATTGCACTTCCTTATAAATTTGCGATACGTTAGCACTAATCCGCCTCTCAAACCGCACAGTGATTGGAAGTTACGAAGAAGGGGGTTGGATTGGCCTGGATTTGAATTTTGCATCTCTGCACTGTGAGGTCAACGTGCTTACCAGTCGATCACCGTGCCACCATTTAATTTCCTTGTTAATTTTATTTTCAGTTACTCAACCCAACTAATTTTATGGACTTCCAAATTAAAAAAATAGTGTGAATATCATAAAACAGTGACTTTTTTTTTTGTTCACTTATTTTTTTAAACATTTGTTTACATTAGAAAAATAGTGTGGCATCTTTTAACATTTATCATGATTTTTATAAATACAAAATGGTGTGTTATTTTGTAACCATCAAAAAGAAAAAATCCAAACAATGTGATGTGTTGTCATATTAAACTTTATTGATTTGTTTAATGATTAAACGTTTTCTCTTTTTGATATTAAATGTCTTGGTTAAACTTTTCAACATGCTTATCCACTCACACAGACCCACGCACACACGCACTGAACTCCACAGGCCTCAAGAGTTTTTCCACGCTGGCGTCACACACAGCCTCAGGTGCACAGCTCCGCACATCGGGCCCCGATCATAAGTCACGTAAGCTGGTGCGAAAACTCAGTCGAAAGAGGCGTTTCCTGCTGTCGCCGACAAAGAATTAATCAAGCGTTTAGCCATTTCGCTTCTTTGCATACCCTTTGCATACTCAACACAAGCGCTGAGAGACGACCGACGCTTTTCCGCCACCCTGATGAATCCATCAAAGCGGATGTGATTTATACACGTGTCTGCCTTCACAGCGGAGGCCACCCGGCTCAAACGGGCGCACACGCGAGCATCATCAACACTAGAGGGAAGCAGGGAGGGGGGTAAAAGTTTGCATAAAACAAGCGCATATGTCCATTTTTCGGTCTCTTGATGATGATGCTTCACTCGCTCGACGCGGGGATTTGTTGAGGGGGGGGTCGGCGCGCAACTGAGCTGAGCTGAGTCCACAAATGTTTTGTTTTGTTTCTTCGCTTGCAAAACCCCCAAAGATGCTACGAGGAGAGAATGAAAATGAAGGGACACTACGAGGAAGAACCAGAAAAGTTAAGATGATTAAAGGTCTAAAGGAAGTCAAGTCCATTTTTTTTTCCAGTAATATGTTCTATACACCTCCACTAGTCTAAACCTGGCATTCTCCCTAATATTGCATTTTTGCAATGTGAATGAAGCTGAAAAATCAATAAGTTTTTCTCATGGGGCTCACATTAAACACCACATTAAACTGCACAATATCAGAGTTTTTACAAAATTCAGCCCCCGAAGTAAGTCTCACTTATAGTAGTAACAAAAAATGTGTTGGGCACATCAATCATGAGGAGACCCACAAAAAAGAACCAATGCCCCAAAAGCCACCACAAGTCTGTCATTTTAGGATCATTTTCAGTCGTTCTTTAAAATAAACACTAATCTGGAACAGTTTTTCCGATTGCTACAAATCCATCCATCCATCCATCTATTTTCCGATTTGCTTATCCTCACAAGGATCGCGGTGGGTGCTGGAGCCTATCCCAGCCGTCTTCGGGTAGTAGGCAGGGGACACCCTGAACCGGTTGCCAGCCAATCTCAGGGCACACATAGACAAACAACCATCCGCGCTCACACTCACACCTTGGGACGATTTAGTGTTCAATCATCCTGCCATGCATGTTTTTGGAATGTGGGAGGAAACCGGAATACCCGGAGAAAACCCACGCAGGCACGGGGAGAACATGCAAACTCCACACAGGAAGGCCGGATCCAGGATCGATGCCACGACCTCCGCACCGTGAGGTCAACGCGGTAACCACTGGATCACCAGGCCTCCCCGATTGCTACCGATTATCAAATTATAAAACATTACAGCTTTCCTCACTGTTGTTGGGCGGAGCATGGAGGCAAAATTTGATGACTTGCCATGAATGCACTTTCAAAACTTATGAAGACGTCCTCTTGTTTCAGTTCAACATCCCCTCAAAATAAGTGAGGAGGGTGTAGGGGATGAGAAGGAAGTGGGGGGGGGGCACTCCTCTTCAATCTTAGTCCCCAGGAGGCCTGCGCTGCACCTGCTGTCTCCCGGCGCCTCCCATCAGAAAGGCATTTAGCGGGCGCTGTGGCTGCGGGCCCCGTCATTAGCCAGCGTAATTATTTGTGCAAGGAGCATTGTGGCAAAAGTGGCTGCGCATAAGCAAACAGAAGGGCCGCAGGACCGAGAGCAAACAACACATTAGAGGCCATCGAAGGCCGTGATAATAACAGCAAACGTTGAACACCCAAAAGAAGGTGAAGTGGTCTCAAGAAGAAGTGACAATACAGGAAGCGTATTCAAAAAGCATAAATGTCCATATTAACACATTGGGGGGGGAAAAGATAAGACCAAAAAAAAAAAAAAACAAGACATTACTCACAAAGTCATGTTTGTGGCTGCGGGCGCTGTCCCTCCTACAGTTCATCAATTCCACAGCATGACAAGTCGTCATCCCAACAATGCTTCATCTGCTTGTGCTCATTTGCATGCACACACACACACACACACACATGCGCGCACTCACACAGACTTGACAACAACACTAAGATTTGAGCTTCACGCTGTGTGATGTATGTATTGTATTACAACTAAGACCACTTTCTTCACTTGCACTTCTGAGGGATCAATAAAGTCTCTATCTACAAACAGTGATGCGTACTCCACGAGGGACCACAAACAATGGTTCACGCCCACACCGGAGACCACAAAAAGTGGCGTGCGCACCCCTTGGGACCTCAAACTGCAGTGAATGCGCTTCCCTGAGGATACTTAACTGAGTTGTGTGAAACTCTGGGCAACCACACACTGTGGTTTGTGAATGCTCGGCGACATTAAAAAGTAAAGTGCACCTGCCTGGGGAAAACAAAAAGTGGGGACTATAGATGAGGGCTCTTAAGTTTTTTTTTTTTTTTTTTTTAACCTAACAATTCAATCATGTTTTGTTGATTAATCGACTAATCCGATAAAATAATACCGGTAATAATAATTTCCATCTCGTATTGTTATTTCCAATTGGCAGCGCTGAATATGCATTAACATACTGATAGTTCAGAGTTCAGTTCCTGATTTGGGTCCATAACAAGAAAACGGGCAAAAATGTTGATCAAAGTAAAAACAGATCTTTGCAAATGTCTTATTTTGAAAAGAACACATAGATAACACTGCAAATCAAGTATTTACAAATTTTATAAAAGTTGGGATCCAAGTAAACTTTTTTATGGAAAGATGATTTTTGTGAGAAAATTCCTGAGAATATTTACTGTCGAGATGTGGAAATTCGGAGGATTTACATGAATGTGATCATCGCTGAGTTGTTGATTTAACGTAACACCTGGAATATTGACTCCATATGCTTTCACAGTGAGCAGGCCCATCCCGGTTTGTGAATCACAGCCATGTTTCGCACTCAATCAAGGACATTTAGCCTAATGTCCATTTTGCAGCTCAAATCTTTACCCACAAACTGAACTCCTCCTTAAACTTCACACGCACGTCGCCAAACATACAAACCATTACCAGCTAATTGAATGTAATTTATTTCGTTTTGCGCAAAGATCCATTAAAGGCAAAAGAAGTCGCACCTCCACAAATGACCGCCTCGTACGGAGCGCCCTCTTCTCAAACACAATTAAAACACCACGTATCAATACACACACTGCAAATGACACGCACGGGGGCGGGGTGAAGGGTTGGGGGGGGGGGGCTCATCTTCTCACGTCATTAGCAGCCCACCATGACGCTGGGCCGCTGGCCATTTTTTTTCTATCGAAAGTCTCTAATGGGAGCCCCACTCGCGATGCTAAAATATGCACAGAAAGTCCAGCACGCACACATCATGTAAACCGTTTGCAATGAATGGTTATTTATTCACTAAACGAGGGTGTGGGTGTTTAATGTTCCTTGGACGTTGGGTAGTGTTCCGGGGGAGGCAGAGCCCGAGCCCCCCGGCAACAGACATCATTTATTTTACACATAGCCCTAATACCGCACACTAGGCAGCCGCACTCAGATGGGCTTTGCATGGGAGAAGGAGATTTTAATGAATGTGTGTATGGAGAGGAACACATTAAGACACGGAGAAGGGGGAAAGGGGAATATTTTGTGTGTGTGTTGATTGTTTTTTTTTCTTTTTTAAATTTATCCTGAGAGAGGAGACACCTGGTTGCAAAGTGTACGTCTTGTATCCAAATGGACTTTGGAGGGCGCTCCGATACACATCTTCAGAAAAAAAAAAAGTGACTGAAGTTTTTCTAAAATTATCAAATGTTGGACTTTTATTCTATCTGCCCAGTTAGAGGATTTTTTTTTTATTCTTTCCTCTTCTAAAAGAGTATTGATAAACTTAACTCGTTCGTCATCTCTTGACGCCTTTGATATGATGTTTAGATTTTTTGGAATTAAGTGTTGCAATATAAATGTTGCATTTATTAATATTCATCACTGTATTTGTTTTTATTGCAATTAATGTTTTCAGTCATTTATTTTAACTACGGTACTGTAATTAACATTTAACACAATTATTTTTGACTATAACAAAGTGAGTTTTTTCATTTCACACTTTAATTCTTCATTTGTTCATATTTATCAGCGGAGTTATTGTAAAGATGCAATTTCTTTCAAATGTTTTCTTAACTAATATTTATCAATTAAATATTTATTTCAAAATTACTTTTCATTATTTTTGCATTTATTGTGATGGAGTGAAATTTTGTCTCGTTTTTTAAATCAATTATTATTCATCAATTATTTATGGTAATCGAATGATGTTTGTTTTGTTTTGTTTTGCTTTTTTTTTTTTTCCAGCTTGTTGGCATCCTGACAGTGGTGCAAAGAAAGACAAATGGACAGCGATGATGAAAAGTGATGCTTCCATGCTGGTCCACCAGCCTTACAAATCCACTTGGAGTCGCCACGGCAAAAATAAAAACGCTATAAAAATGCTATTCCAGCTAGTGTGCACATCAGCCTGATCTCACACTGTTAGAGAAAAAAAACAGTGGACGATATGCCCCCCCCACCCCCCATAGCGTTCCTCCAAATTGAGAAGCTTACCTCCTCACCTACTGTGACCGACGTGAGCGCGATGGTCATCTCTCCGTCCGAAAACTCCTTCAGCTTCTTCGACAGCAAGTGTTCCAGGCCTTGGTCATGTTAGCATAACACAAGACAAGTAAAAGTTACAGAGTGAATCTTTCTTTCCCTCAAAGTGATATTACACAACTGTGTTGACACCATGAGAAATTTGTTTCAAGAAGTTGAAGTGTGTTTGAAAGAGTTCAACTGTATTTAAAGGTTGTTGGGGGATAAAACAAATTTTGAAAAGAAATGCAATGCTCTTCTCTTGAGCGCGGGTGGGTCTGAAATAAGTCTCGTGCTGTAACTGAGGTCTAAGCATACAATACACTACAAGTGACACAACATAGAGGCACAAAGACGGGTTTTAACCACAGTTTCTGGTGTAGGTTCAGTCTCTGGTGATGTGAAAAACATCAAGTCAGGACCTGCTGCATATAATCACCTTGTAGCACCACTTTGCTGTCACTACACCGCTCCAAATGTCTCAGCAGCTCATCCAGTCGCACACAACGGCGGCCATGTTTGAGGGCAAAGGCTTCGCTTTGAAGCCGCAACGCCTCTAAAAACACAAACACAAGTACGTACTTTAGGGCTCCTGTATCACAATCCTCCAAAACTCACTTAGTTGCACTTCCTTGAAAGTCCCCCCCCCGCCCCAAAAAAAAAATGTTGCCCCAACACCAGTTATATCGATCGATGTGGGCAGACATAAAAGAAGTTGTCCATTTTGGTTGGAAGGAGCCATTTTGAGCAAACAGAACACTTGCATGGAGCTGCTGTAGGCCACGACTCATGCCCAGAGGCTCACACACACCACACACACACACACACATACACACTCAAAAATCAACTTGGTTCCAGCTTCTGATGTCACGAGGTCACGCCCTTTAAAGGCACACATCCAAAAACACAAATACTACAGTACGTATTTCACTTACACTTAAAAAAAAAAAAAGGTTATTTATTCACATTTTCTTTAATTATGTTTGATTACATTTTCAGACCAAGATTTCTTCATTGAAAATTTTGGTTTTTAAGGGAGCTGGAATGGATTAATGTTTTTTCTAGTCATTACAATATGAAAAATGTGTCTGATATGATGCCAATTCAGTTACAAGCTTGGTATTGGAATGACTCATAAGTCAATGCACCACTGTATAGTTAAAAAAAACTGGAGGTCAACTTTTAATAGGAGTATTCCCTTTTGTGTTTTGAAACTTTCTGGAGGCCTTTTTGTTCAAATGACTGTCACAGTCGAATAAAACAAGTTGACTGCATATAGTTGTGTTATGTAATTATCTTCCTTCGATGTTTTTTTTTTGCCTCCGTGTGTGTGTGTGTGTGTGCGTGTGTGTGTGTATGTGTGTGTGTATTTGTGTGGACTTGCTTGTTATCTTGGTCCATTCAAGCTCCCCACTGACCCTAATTCACTCTTCCCTCATCCATTACATTCAATCCGATCATTGTCAACTCAAAACTGAAATTTTGTTGTTTCTTTTGTTGTTTCCTCGTTTGAACTTTGTCGGCGAACAATACAGCGGCACCCAAAGCATTTAAACAATTTCAGACGAATTCAAACATCGCAATGAAACGAGTCGATCTTATGTTACGTGGAGACGTGGGGTCCACGGTGGTGTATTTACTTAAATTACGTGATTTGTTTTACGTTGGGGTTCATTGTATTTCAAAACAGGGAGCTATTTTGAAATCGCGCTGTACTGTATATGGATGGATGAATGGCTGCCGTTCCATAAGTTGTTGAAACCCGACCAACTTCCTGAGACTTAACTTAGGAGCAGCCGTCCCACTTTATAGTGTCTCTGTTCCTTACTCACAACCTTCCTCTCTCCTGGTGGCTGTTAAGCGAGCGGAGTGCAGGGATTTGAGCGCCGCGTCGCCCCATTACCTCCCCCAGGGTGCACGGTGTGCGCCTCTCTCTCACCTCCGAGGCTCTCCCTCAGCGCCGCTCCGACGCGCTCGGGTGCCTCTTGAAGAAGCTCTCTGGCGACCGTCATCGCCGCGGACGCCGGGCCGCAGTCATCATCATCATCATCATCATCATCATCAACATCATCATCATGGTGATGGACCACTCGCAGGATGCTGGAGTCCAACGCCTGGCGCTCAGATCTGAATAAACACACATACAGTCAATGGATGCATTAGGAAATACACTTCTATCCCTGTGCGCGCGTTCGCTTGAAATCATCTTTGGCAACATCTTCTGTGTGTGTGTGTGTGTGTGTGTGTGTGTGTGTGTGTGTGTGTGTGTGTGTGTGTGTGTGTGTGTGTGTGTGTATGCGTGGGTGGGTGTGTGTGTGGGTGTGTGTGTGCGTGTGTGTGTGTTTACCCATCCAGCAAGCCATCCCTCATCAGCGTGACTGAGAGTTTTCCTGCTCGATGGATTTTCACAAGGTCTAGGTCATCCTTCCACAATAAGAGGCTCTCGCACACTTTGATCTTGTGTAGGTAGGCCAGGGTCTCCCCAGGCAGCGAGGCGGCACCACGCCGGCCGTACAGCAGCGGCACACACAAACCCAGGGAGGGATCCCTCTGAAGGGAATCATACAAACAGCAATAAGGACCAGAACAACCTTTATGGTCTCTAATGCATGTCATTAGTAGACTCACACACACACACACACACACACACACACACACACACACACACACACACACACACAAAGCTACA